AGGATTGGCCGGTTCCAAAAGACAAGACACAGGTTAGAGCATTTTTGGGCATTGTGCTCTTATTATCGGCGATTTGTGAAGAACTTTGCAGATATAGCCAAACCTCTGCACAGCCTAACCGAGGAGAAGCGACATTTCTGCTGGGATGAAAGTTGCGATATTGCATTGCAGGAGCTCAAGAACCGTCTGTACAAAACACCTATCTAGGGGTACCCTGATGCGGGCAAGGAATTGATAGTTGACACAGACGAAACTGATATAGGACTTGGCGGGGTGTTGTCTCAACGGAATGGTGATCAAGAGATTGTGATAGCGTACTTCAGCAAGTCGTTTTCAAAGCCGGAAAGGAACTATTGTGTCACACGACAGGAATTGCTTGCTGTGGTAAAGTCCTTGCAGCATTTTAGCAAATATCTTTTGGGGCGGAAATTCCACTTACGAACTGACCATGCTGCACTGAAATGGCTATTGCAGTTCAAAAATCCGGAAGGACATGTTGCGAGATGGATTGAACTACTGCAGGAATACGACTTTGTGATCGAACATCACAGCGGGAAATCTCATGGCAATGCAGATGCATTATCAAGAAGACCTTGCCCTGAAGATTGCAATCATTGTACAAGGCCAGAGGATAAGAAAGTGGTATCTATGAGGATACTCAGGACAGACCAGCTCACCAATGAGTGGAAGGACAGCCTACAACATGCACAGCAGGAAGATTCAGACATTAAGCTGATTCTGGAATGGATGAAGGCCAGTGCTCCTAAGCCCAAGTGGAGCGACGTCTCATCAATGGGTTGTCCCTAAGGCTAAAGTACCGGATGTTCTACAGCTGTACCACAGTGGTTGTTCAGGAGGCCACCTGGAAGTTAAACGAACTCTACTGAAGATCCGAGAACGGTTTTACTGGGTCCACTGCCGTGACGATGTCGAGGACTGGTGCCGCAAATGTAAAAGTTGTGCGGCTGTAAAGGGACCTAAAATTCGTAGTAGGGGCGCATTGAAATTGTACAATGTTGGTACTCCATGGAAGAGGATAGCCATTGACGTTGCGGGGCCGTTTCCGGCACTAAGTGGCCAGAAGTCTTCGCCATTCCAAATCAAGAAGCTGATGACGTCTTCTGTCGATTTGGAGTACCTTCAGAGATTCACAGCGATCAAGGAAGGAATTTTGAGTCTCAAATATTCCAGAAAACTTGCAGTTATGGGTACTCATAAAACAAGAACAACTTCTTACCACCCACAATCTGATGGAATGGTAGAACGATTTAATCAGACATTGGAGAGGTACCTAGCAAAAGTTGTGGAAAAATGGCAACGAGACTGGGACAGGTACATACAACCGTTTTTGTTGTCATATCGAAGCGCTGTTCACGAATGTACATCAGTGACACCAGCTTTCGCAAACGTTGGGAGAGAATTACGGCTGCCTGCAAACCTTATCACCGGAATACCACCTGATGCCCCACGCAGTATAACCGATTATCCAAATGAGTTGCGGAACAAAATGAATGACATTTATGTGCACGTCAGACAGACGGGCCAGCAAACGTCTGAGAAGATGAAAGCACGGTATGACCGCAAAATGAACAACAAAGTGTTTGACGAAGGTTCACTAGTGTGGTTACACAATCCAGCTCACAGCAAAGGGAAATCTCCTAAGCTTCAAGCTAAATGGGACGGACCGTACCGGATTGTGACAAGGATCAGTGACGTAACCTACCGGATACAGAAAGGTGCCAGAGGTACTCCTAAGATCGTCCATGTGGATAGACTGGCGCGTTATTATGGGGTCAATAATGCTCGGGACGAGCATGTCGTAGGAGGGGGCAGTGTTGCGCGCCACTATTAATGTCTTGTACATGGCAACATTAGTCACCACTAGCGCCCTCTAGTGTCGAGTAGCAGAACTAGGAGAGTCAAGATCCTTCTAGAAATTTCAGGACCGATATTTACTCGAACATTCTAGATGTCGCTACAGTAGAAGGTTCTGGAAACTATATGAGGCCCTATATAAGGCCGGTATAGACTACGACCGAGTCATTACTGAATTGGCGATACAAGAGAATACTTCGAAGCGAAACAACTGCGAACTTAAGTGATCAGTAGTACAATTGTGTTTTATTATTGGTGTGGTTTTAGATTGTAATTAGTGTTGTGTAATTAAAGTGTCAATTTTGGTAATTCAATCGGCAGTTTTTAATTGTCTAGAACCCCAAGCTCGTAACAATACGTTATATTTCCTTTATAAGGACTAACTATTGATAAAGACCGATAATAATGTGCTTTGTTTTGATTACTGTTTAAGCCTTAATTTTTTTGTTTACATATTCCTGTTATCAGTGATTGCTAAATAATTCCTATTATGAGTCATTTAAATAATATTTGTGTAATTATAGTTTTGTTTTATAATATTTTTTTTAATTACAAATATAAAATAGATTATAAGTCATTGTATTCTCATAATAATTATCATAGATAATTTTCTCAGTTATTTTAATTTAGAATTTGTGAAATTTGTAAAGAATATTATGTAAGTATTTTCGTTTGCTAAACAATTGTAATTAATAGACTTATCAGTAATATTTATAACAGTGGTTTACTTATTTTCATATTATAAAAGTATTTGGATTGTATAATTCTTACACATTCGAACTGTTGCTAGGTTCAGTTTGGATTAGTAGTAGGGGTAGCTACAACCATTGTGTGATATTATAAAAACGATTGCAATAATGATTGAGGGGCTTTTCGTGCTGTAAAATTAGTAAAGGAAACAACTAACAATCAGGCGTATTTATTGTTCCTTTCTGCGACTCCTGTAATATCTCAGAAGTGGGATATAGTTACAACGCACCACAACTACGGCAAAATATGGAGACCTTGGGACCCTACATCAACGGGTTAGGCAAGAAGTTCAGAAAAAATGCAGAAGAAACCACTGAGGTAAACGAAAATATTCAAAAATTTTTTTCTAACCTTGGTTCAACTATCGCGAAGAAAAGAAAAACTACCCCCATGGATGCAGAATTAATTTCAAAATTCAAACCAGGCCCAAAATTGTTGAGTGCTAAGGCTTGGCTTAATAAGATCGATCAATTAGGTCACATATACAATTGAAGTGATACTGACAAATCTTATATAATGCACATGAGATTACGTGGTTCTGCACGTGAATGGTATGAAAATTTGGATAACTATGAATTGACTTGGAATGAGTGGAAGTATGCGCTTGAACGAGCATTTCCAATGGCTATTGATTTTGTTGATAAATTGGAACTAATGTTGGCACGCAAGAAAAATGATAACGAAACTATGACCGCATATTTTCATGACAAGATGTCCTTAGCAAAGAAATGTAAATTTGACGAAGGAGCGACCATTTCATGTCTTATTAGGGGCCTTCCAACTGAATTAAAGGCAAATGCGAAAGCTTTCAGATGCGAATCGGCTGAAGAACTTTACTATGGGTATCTGTCTTCACTTGAACATTACAAAAGTGTTGAGACTAATTCTTTTAAGAACAGAGAAGCTAGTCAGCCAACTAAGACTACGTGGCGTCGTGGGTGGTCATCATCGACGAAACTGTGCTACATTTGTCGAAGACCAGGCCACGAGATTAAAGACTGTCGGAGCCAGCTCTTCTGTACCAGTTGCCAGCGTCGGGGCCATGAGACTATGACCTGCTGGAATGCAGGTGCTAAGGTGATGTACACTTTTAAATCCTTTAATATTCTGCGAGACTGTTTTAATAAAATTGTTATCATAAACGATCACCAGATAAGTGCTTATATCGATACCGGCAGTAAAGTGAATATTTTGACGCTCGATATAGTCAGATTGCTAGATCTACCTTTAATTCCATCCACTGTTGTATTGAGAGGATTTGGGAATAACTGTATATTTTCTCTTGGTACCGTTCACTTTACAGTAGACATCGATAAATTAAAAATATCTAGCTTTGCAGAAGTAACGCATACTTGTACAGCCAATATTGACATGATAATAGGTCAACCTATTATCAGTCAAGATAACATTAGTTTGATCACTAGTTCTACTAGCGCCACACTGGTCAGAAATGATTTATGTGATAATATTTTAACTCAATTTAATCTTGATAGAACTGATTTCCACCATACATATGAAATACGATTATCACAAGAAGTAGTTATTCCTTCTTGTTGTGAAATGTCTGTTAATATTTATGTAAATGGCAAGTGTGTGGACTTAAATACGTTATAGAGTAGTATACACTACTCTACCTGTTTACAATTCGAAGGATATGTATTTAATACCGGGCGCTTTATTAACGTCTGCGACTGATGCAATTAAAATTATTAATATAGGAAATCACCCTATCGTGTGGCGAGCGGGGCGTTTATTAACTAGGGCGGAGGTTTATTATGAGAAGAATATAATGAATATATTATGTACTGATACAAATAAAATCAATTCAAACCGCCATTTTAGAAAAAACAAAATTAACTTAGAGGAACTAGATTTAGGCGAAATAAATAATAATGAACGGGATACGTTGTTAAGATACTACATAAATATTCGGATTCATTTGCAACGGATACATCTAGCTTAAGTTGTACGAATTTAATTGAAATGTCTATTGATACTCATACCGATAAACCAGTTTTTTGTAAGCCTTATAGATTATCATACAAGGAAAAAGAAATAATAGATGAAAAAGTTCAAGAGTTATTAGATTCGGGAATAGCAAGGGAATCCAATTCACCCTATGCGAGTGCAGTAGTATTAGTAAAGAAAAAAATGGGGAGTACAGATTATGTATAGACTACCGTGCTTTGAATTCATGTACAGTAAGGGACCGTTTTCCCTTGCCACACATAGATGACCTTATTAGTTTGTTATCGGGGAAATACTATTTTACTGCACTCGATCTCGCCCAAGGGTATTATCAGATCCCTATTTCTCCAAAATCTATCCCGAAAGCTGCGTTCGTTACGCCATCCGGACAATATGAATTTGTACGAATGCCGTTTGGATTGGCCAACGGTCCGGCTGTATTCTCTAGAGCCCTTAAACTAGCTTTAGGGAAGTTGGCAAACTACAGCAAATCAAATGACAAGGATATCTATGGTGTCAGTGCAAATCAAAACGGAGTAGTTGCGGTATACTTAGATGATATGATTCTTCCAACTGTCACAATTCAGGAAGGACTTTTGCTATTAGAACAAGTGTTAGAACTTCTTAAACGAGCAAATTTACGATTGAATCTAAGTAAATGTTCATTTCTAAAAACTACTGTCGATTATTTGGGCCACGAAATTACAGCGGGGACTATAAGACCAGGTCAACATAAAATTGAGTGTGTACTCGGCTTTAAAACGCCAACCAATGTTCACGAGGTCCGCCAATTCATTGGTTTGGCATCATATTTTCGAAAATTTATTAGAGATTTTGCGTCTATAGCACGCCCCCTAACTGAATTAACAAAAAAGGACTATATTTGGTGTTGGGGTGCCGAACAAAATAGAGCTTTTAATACCTTAAAGGGGTTATTGACCTCAAGGCCTGTCCTTGCTATCTACAATCGTACTGCGACAACAGAGTTGCATACAGATGCAAGTAAAATCGGTTTAGGTGGTATTCTAATGCAATTTCAATCTGATAACACGTTAAAACCGGTAGCATATTTCAGTAGGGTTACCAGCAGGGAGGAGAGATTCTACCACAGCTATGAGTTGGAAACACTTGCTGTGGTAGAGTCACTCAAAAGGTTTCGCATTTACCTTGTAGGTATACCTGTTAAAGTAATCACTGATTGTTCAGCCATTCGTACCACTTTAACTAAAAAGGATCTTGTGCCGCGCATTGCAAGATGGTGGCTTACTATTCAAGATTTTGAGTTAGAAATAGAATATAGACCGGACGATAGGATGCGACATGCGGATGCGTTAAGTCGCAATCCTATATCCGTAAATTTATTAGATGTTAAGATGATAGATGAAACAGATTGGGCACTCTCTGTTCAACTTCAAGATGATGGCATCCAACAAATCATTAATCAACTGCAAGGGGGTACTTCTAATAAAGATATATATAATAATTATTCTATTTCTGATGGGCGGTTATATAGGAAAACTTTGGCGGGTGAACATATTGTAATACCAAAACTAGCTAAATATAGTATTTTGCAAAAGTATCACGACCATATTGGACATCCGGGGTTCGATAGGGTTGAAAAATTAATAAAGTCTGCTTACTGGTTTCCAAAGATGACAAAATTTATTAGGAAATACATAAAAAGTTGTTTACAGTGCGCATACGGTAAATCAGGTTATGGTCGGCGTGAAGGAGAATTACACCCTATAGAAAAACTAGACATCCCTATGCACACCTTACACGTTGACCATTTGGGCCCATTTCCAAAGAGTCGACAGGGAAACAACTACATTCTTATTATTATAGACTCATTTACGAAGTTTGTTTTTGCTCGCCTAGTGAAAAGTGTGCGTTCAACAGAAACTGTAAAAGAACTCACAGATTTAATTTTAGTGTTTGGCAAACCTAGTAGAATTATAACGGACCGAGGTAAATCTTTTACGAGTCGCTATTTTAAAACTTTCGTAATGGATTATCAAATCAAACACATTAGGAATGCTATATCTGCATCTCGTGCAAATGGCCAGGTAGAACGAGTTAACAGAACCATTCTGGATGATCTTAGCACATCGGTAAAAGAAGAGTGTAGTTGGGACACAAAGTTATCCGACATCGTCTGGGGTATCAATAATACCCTACACTCGGTAACTAAAGTAGCACCATTCAGTCTAATGTTTGCCCATGAAAACAATCTTTTGCTAGTACCAACATCTTCATCCGAATTAAGTAATTACATTCAAAGACAAACTTTATCTGATAGGCGAACACAGGCTAAATTGAATATTGACCAAAACATGACACGAATGAAGAAACAATTTGACAGTAGGCATAAAAAATGTACCAAATATAATATAGGTCAGTTAGTCTTATGGAAAGGAGGTGTTACTGAAGAAGCCGTGGGTGTAAGCAAAAAGCTAGGCAGCAGGTATTCCGGACCGTATAAAATTGTTAAAACTAATCACGTCATTGATCGTTACACGATATCTTCTGTGAAGGGTATGAGAGGTTATCGAAAATTCAGTGCAACGGTAGCCGGAGATACATTACGTCCATACAAGCCAGTGGTATCAGATGTTGATGATTCTACAGACAGTGAGGGCCATAATATTGATAGGGATGATTTGATTGATTTGTTAGAAAGTTAGATTAATTTTTCCTTAAATATTATTATTCCATCAAAATTGTACTTATTTACCCGTTGTGTGTAATTGCTCGATGTATCTTATGCTTGTCAAAATAAACTCGCTACGATGTGTTAAATTTTGCAATTAATTTCCATTTAAGATATTAGAATGTACAAAATACTGTAAAATTACATAATTACTAAATACATATAACATAGTTCCTATGAAGTTGTTTTGTGGTAAATACATTGTGAAGAATTTATCAAGTCAATGACAGCTTTAAAAATATTAGGTAGGTACTATTACTATTCACTTCACAGTAGGTCACTTTTCTTAGTAGTCTGCACAGTGGTAGTCAGTCTGTGGCTGGAAGCTACAGTTACAACTACTTCCTTAATTTTCGATTTATAGCTATTTCCAGGTAGTGGTGTCTTGTCGAATTTATGATGTTGTACCGCAAAGAGTATTTATAATATAATTCAAATTTCAATTATGTGTATTATCTATCTCTCGAAGTTTAGTAAATACATAAATAAATACGGCAGCTACGTCTTGATGGTCGCAAGGTAAAGCTATGTGCACTTCTTACAACAAAATGTACTTTACCTTATAACAATTACATACATATTAATTTAAGCAGTTACTAATCTAATTTGTGTTTTACTTAATTTATCAGTGTGTATATGTGCAGAGATAATCTTCATTTATGCAAGGAATAAGCTAATTATAACGCCATAATTTGTTATAATTACGTGCACAAATTGAAGTAGATATAAAAAAGAGCTAGGTGCAATAAAAAGAGCTATGTGCAATAAAAAGAGCTATGTGCAATAAAAAGAGCTATGTGCAATAAAAAGAGCTATGTGCGATAAAAAGAGCTATGTGCGATAAAAAGAGCTATGTGCAATAAATAGAGCTATGTACAATAAATAGAGCTATGTAGAATAAAAAGTGATATGTGCATTAAACTAGGCTACGTGCATTAAATAAAACTATATGTTAAATAGAGCTATGTGCAACTTTTTTTTGCAATTGCGCAACCATACTAAATTTATGTGCAGTCTATATACGCCTCAAATGTCACACTTTAGTAAATCTGCTGAATGTAACAAATATGTCCATCTTTGCTAAGTCTGAGATCTCTAAAGAAGTTCAAAAAATAAATACCCAGTAATCAAAAGAAAATCTTGTAAGAGCTGAATTTAACATATTATTTTTACCTGGCTGTGTGCTTTTGTCTGTAGAAAAGATTTATGTAATGCATTTTTACAGACAAGATTGCTTATGGAACAATTAAGATCAGTACACATTTCTTTTCCTTTACAGATAGAGCGGCCACAATTTACACCGCAAGATGGTAGACCAGCTGCAGGGGCCACTACATGGCCAAGCAAACGAAGCTTGGTTGAGAGACCTCCTACATCAATGCTGCTAAATAAGATTACCAAATGCTTTTTTTAAATAAAACTAATTTTACGGATTTTATCGCGTATATTAACTTATTTTTTTTTATATTCCCGACGTTTCGGGTGCTTTCCAGCACCCGTGGTCACGGGGGACTGAGTTGTTTGACGTCCTGCTGTCATAGTTAGCCCGGCTACCTTCAGTTTTTTAATATTAATTTTTGGTTCGATTTACGCAGAATGAGCTTACAGTATCTTGAAGTCTAGCAGTGGTATACTTGGGTTTGGATTTGATTTTATTAATTTATTAATCAAGCAGATGGCAGCACCCATCCATCTTCTCTATTGAAATTAGGATGTTTTTTAATTTCAATAGCCTCGCGAATCATCCTTGGGAAGAATCGGTGTTCTTTTGCGAGGATTTGTGGTCTATCAAATCTAATGTAATGACGGGGACGATCCTGAACATGTTCACAAACTGCAGACTTCCCGATACGTCGGTGCTTCACGTCAGCTATATGTTCTTTAACGCGGGTTTTAATAGATCTTTTTGTTTGTCCTATGTACGAGAGACCACATTCACAATCCAGCTTGTACACTCCTGCATCTTGTAGAGGGATATGACACTTGACGGATGGTAAAAATTGACCAATCTTCTTCAGCGGCTTGAAGTATGTTTTAATGGAAGCTCGCTTCAAGATGTAGCCAACCTTGTCTGTGACTCCTCTGACATAGGGTAGTACAGCAGGCACACGCTCGACTGTGGCTGGCTTCACTCGGTCACTGTGACGTAGGCGCGGGACCCGAAGCTTGTTGTCTTGCAGTACTTGCTCGACGTGCTGAAGCTCGGCGGCCAGATGTTTTCTGTCACAGATCCCTCGTGCTCTCTGAAACAAAGATTTTCCCACGGTAGCTAACTGTGAAGGATGATGGTGAGATTCACCATTTCAATATCGGTTGGTATGGGTATTTTTTTCTGTACACAGTATGACCAATAGTGTTATCAGGATTTCGGATGACTAAAACATCTAGAAAAGCTAAAGTATTGTTTGCCTCTAACTCCATTGTGAATTGTATTTTAGGGTTTATGGAATTAAGGTGGTTTAAAAATGCAGTTACTTTGTCAGATGGTAAAATTGTGAAAGTATCGTCTACGTACCGCTTGTAGAATCTTGGATATACAGGAGCAGTAAGAAGGGCTTTCTCCTCAAAGTCCTCCATGAATATGTCGGCGACTACGGGAGATACAGGTGAGCCCATTGCCACTCCGTCTACTTGCATGTAGAACTCTTCTTTCCACAATAAATAGCCAGATGTGAGGCAGTGTTTGCGTAATACTGCATATTCTGTAGGCATGTTGTTATCTTCTAGCTTTCTAGTAACAATTGAGATGCAGTCTTCAATAGGTAGGCATGTGAATAGTGACTGAACATCAAAACTGACCATAGTTTCATTGTCAGCGAGATGTAGGTCTTTAATCTCACTAACAAATTGGTATGAATCCTTTGTGTGTGCTCTGGTATGTCCTCTTAGTGGTGACAGTATTTTTGCCAAGTGTTGAGCCAACTTATAAGTTGGTGAATCGATCTGGCTTACTATAGGACGTAGTGGAGCGTTTGGTTTGTGTATTTTCGGTAACCCATACAACCTCGGTGGTTTGGCACATGATGGTATTGTCGAATTCACGTCAAGATCTAATTTTTCGGAGTATTTCTTTATTAAATCAGTGGTTGTTTTGAGTGTATTAGTTGTAGGGTCTATTTTGACCTTTATGTATGTACTTACGTCCGATAAAAGTTGTTGTATTTTGAAATTATACTCTGACGTGTCCATTATTACCGTAGCATTTCCTTTATCCGCGCGGAGAATCGTGAGCTCGGGTCTGTTGCGTAAGTTGTACAACGCTTTAAATTCGTCTTTCGGAAGATTTAGTCTCGGCGCTGAACTTCGACGTAACAAGGACGAAATGTCTTGACGTATAGCCTCTAAATCCTCTTTACCGATATTATTCTTAAACAGACAATCCTCAACACTACAGATAATTTCCTCGTACGGGATTTTTTGCGGCGTTATAGCAAAATTTAAGCCTTTCGACAATACTTTTATTGTAGGTTCGTCCAGTATTTCTTTTGACAAATTATAGACCGTGCGTTGTTTATTGTTTGCGTCTGTGGTCAACGGTTGTTGCGTTTCGTTTCTACGTTGACATGGATGTTTGGCATTTGATTTGATAGTTTGTTATTATATTACTTATCAGTAATATTTATAACAGTGGTTTACTTATTTTCATATTTTCGTATTTGGATTGTATAATTCTTACACATTCGAACTGTTACTAGGTTCAGTTTGGATAAGTAGTAGGGGTAGCTACACCCATTGTGTGATATTATAAAAACGATTGCAATAATGATTGAGGGGCTTTTCGTGCTGTAAAATTAGTAAAGGAAACAACTAACAATCAGGCGTATTTATTATTCCTTTCTGCGACTCCTGTAATATTCCTTTATATGATGCTGCTTAAGAACTTTCTATACTGTTGGATTTAAAAAACAAGTGATAGTTAAAATTATTCTAGGGATAGTGACATTTCGTTAAAGAATTGTTTTTCTAGGATATTAGACTGACGGATGAGTGACATTCAATTACTAATGCCAAGATGTGCTATTGTATTTATAAATATTTAAGAAAAAATGTTTAATATATAATTTGTTTTTAAAATTTGTTTATTAAATTACGAAGAGATATTATTATTTTTATTTTTTGAAGAAATGAAGAGTTTAAGTTGATAATATGAAGAGTTTAAAGATTGTCAGTATTTTTTGAATCATTGTTTTAAGACTGATATTTGATTGACTGCCTAATATGTTTTATTTTTTCCTAAAAAAGTTTAAATAATTAAGATGAAACATTTCTTATTTTTGTTTACTTTAAAAATTTGAAGAAACTTTTTAATATACATTATGTTTGACTTAAAAATAACATTTATTGTTTTTTTTTTTCATTAAGTGAAATCGTTATAAATAAAAAGATATGCAATAACATGTTTATTTCACTTATGCAAATTCTGGTACACGAAAAAAAATCCACACCACATTGCGACCCATGGTACCTTAGGTGGAACTTATTCAATTAAAACCAAACATATGTATAGTGCTTCTAAATATCATAAATTTTATACCCTTAAACATACATATGCTGCTATAAAACTATCGTACTGTAAAAAATTTACAAATTTAGTGATTGACCTGAGCCACTATAAAAAAGTACCATAAAGGGGACCGTGGGCTGAAATGAGAAGTGGTTAATTTAAGCGTTGGGCCTTACGAGGTTAATCAAAATAAAACTGTAAATGATTACAAACTCTAAAGAATCAGTATCAATTTTTCTTACGAATCGAATATTGTACGTATCGATTTTTTGGTTGTCATGCCTAGTCCAATAAGTCTGACAGCTGTCAAAAGATATTTCTTAGATTTGGTTGAGTATAAAATAAAATATTTCTTTCATTGGAGATGGATATTATTCCATTTCGTTTCCTTATAGCCGCCAGGGTCGTCTACACTACGTCAGAAGGGGTCGTGACGGATAAATCTTACACTTTTTCTCGCCTAGCCCTCA